TAGTCTCTTTTCTTTAGACATCGTAAGGGGTGAAAAAATAAAACGAAAAATAAAGAAACAACTATTTTGCTCCCGAGGCCTAAGATACGGTACTTCTGCTTTCGGTGACACATCCAACTTGACAATATGCACGTGCCAGACTGCCGAGTATCAAATGAAAATTGAAAAACCGATTAGGCGATTACCGACGCTAATTGCATTAAGCGCTCTGATTGGTCAAGCGCATTGCACATTTGAATCCAACGCAAGCACTCAAAAACGATTTTTTATTTGTTAAAGTTAGGCCTGACACGGCCTTATTCTGCTCCACATTAAACAGGGATCGTCGTGTATTTACAAGCTTTTTCACTCTCATCCATTACTATAATTTATTTTTTTATTATTTAGGGAGCATTATAAATAGCTATGTTTTTAAAAGGAAAAAAAACCACTATTGTTATAAATAACACATTCAATTGAACTAAACTGTGCATGGCTTGTGTATATTTATATATACATATATATTATTCATACCTTCGGTGCATAGGACGCAAGCAGATTTTGACATCAAATTTTGGGGTAAAAAAGTGCGTCTGATACACCGAAAAATACGGTAATTCCTGTTCCTCCAGGAAAAAAAGATCGCTCTCCCTCAACTTAAAATCGTGGATTCGCACTTGGTGAAGCCTACCTGGTTATTCTTGTATTAACTGTTTTAGTACAGTGTTAGGCCTACAGAGCTTTTCCTAAGGATTTTTTCCCACTGCACAATTATATTATAACTTCACCATTTTTTAATACACGACGCCTTATTGTACCTCATATATACAGGCCTAGGAACAAATGGTCCAAAAAATGAAGAATATTCTAGTAAATATATTTATTTATCAACCGTGGAATGGAATTATGTAATCTTAAAATATGTTTAATATTTATCCACTTGAATTCATATAAATAGGTGAATTTTCAACTGCACAACTATTTTTACAGGTGCACAATTTGTGATCAACTGCACACTAGGGACACCCCTATAGGCCTACTTGGTTACTGTAGTATATACTGTTTTCCCCACAAAGTATTGCTAAAAGTAAAACACCAATTCTATTAGTTTACTTATAGAGTACCAACAACACAATATTCCGTAGTACATGATTTATCTATTGTTTCTTCTTTTAAAATACTTTAAGTTAAGGAAATAATTGGTCATTATAGTATATACTGTTTAATTCTTTCCAATACTAAACGTATACGAGCTTTTCGTACCGCTGTTCTATTCTTTAAAGTACTGAAAATGTAGTGGCGTCCTAAATACTTAATGTTTTACCATTTTCAGCACTGTAAGTATAAATTATAATATAATTAACTGGCCATCATCAGTCGTAGTAGTACCCGTTGTTTTATTGTTTAAAATACCTTAAATATATAGGGGAACTGGTCTTTGTAGAAAATGTTGTTATATTCATTACTTTACATAAATTTAGTAAACACAGCATTCTTAACATATTGGATATTGTAACGTACTGTGCCAAGATTATTTGGGAATTGTTTATTGTGAGAAGGGTTTAGCAAACATTTTTGTTGTTCTGGAATAAATGTGATTGTGGAACATTAGAGACAACATTCTTAATAATTTTTTTTTATTGTAGATCGAGCGATACGGTAAGCAAAAAAAAATAAAAATTCAATTGAAACTAATAGACGATAGTTACCAGATGATGGCCACAAGAGTGGTCGAAACGTTGAATTAAAATTAAACAATCCACTCAAAGTCTGTATCTCTTGACTTTTATTGAAACTAATTAAGTCATCACATTGAGCATGTGGACAGGTTAGCTTAATGGGAATATTCAAATGTCAAAACTGTTGATTTTTTAGTGCAAAGCTACACGATGAATGGGCTATTTGTACTCTGACCCCTAGGAAGAATCGAAACACTGATTTTAGCGTTGCAAGTCTGTAAGCTAACCGCTGACCCACCGAGGTACATTAAAATTTTAAGCGAATGGAAAAGTTTACAATGCACGCTTCTAGAGTATAGGTGCCATTTAGGCTTAGCGACTTAGGCTACCACTTCAGCTCAAGTTCAAGACAACTTTCATATAAACAGGTCCTTAGCAGAGGGGCATTGAATAATTGAAGTTGTCATATTTTGTGGATAAATTACTTAAATTCCTGGTTGTATAGGAAAACACGCCAATTTATAGAATTTACATTAAACATTAGGAGTTTTAACAGTTTAATTATTTGTGTGTGTATCTATATATATATGTATCCAAGAACAGATTATCAAATTCTTGTTCTCTAATAGGCCTTTAAATAAATGGTCAATCTCAAACTAATCTATCTCAATACTTTGTGTCTTAAGCACCTGAAATGGAGGGGGAAATCATATTTTCTGTTTCTTTCTTCTTCTTTTCCACAATTATGCCCAGAAATCTTTTTTTTTTATTTTTTTTTTACTTAAGCCCACGTTCCAATATTAAGGGATCAAAGATTACAAAAAAAAACAGGTTTTAGTCTGCAGTTCCCATCAATTTAAATTAGAGTTGTCATAAAGATACCTCTCGACAATTTTCACAAACTAAAACAAGCAGGTTTTTTTTTTCTTTTAATTTACAGGGGCCAAAAGGAAAAAATCGCAGCAAAATTAGGATTTTTGGCTTTCTATTTCTTTATATCTTGACAAATCCAGATAAGAGTACACAAAGAAAATCTACACAGACCACGAAACAACTAGATGCGAGATTTGTGTCTCTTGTGATTTTACAGGTATCAATGGTTAAAAAAAAAGGCAATGCAAGTAATAGTTATGAACTTAAAGACGTCTGCATTTTAAACGTTACAAAGGGTTATGCTGTATTGGGGGGGGGGGGAAGCATTTCCATTTGCTTGGAAATGTTGGCCTTTCTCGTTAACCCACCATAACTTACAACCAATAGTTCCATCCTACTGTTCTTCTTAATACAACTTTCACCAACTTCCTATCTGATTCAATTAACATCCATAGTCAGATAAGTTTGTAATTAAAAACACCAAACACTCATTTTTATTGTGATAAATTTTATTTCACCGTTTGCTAGACAATGGGCTCACATGGATATGATGCTAGGAATACTAATAGGTTTTCATGGGAACAAAAAATGGCATACTAGAGAACATTTTTTTTCTTAGTTATGAAAGACATCTTAAACTTCTGATCACAAAATGTATTCTCTCATCATACCACAACTGCTGTTCTTCAGAGCTTCAGAAGAAACTTCTAAATATATATATATTACACACACAAACACATGCATACGTGTGTGTTTGTGTGTGTGTCTATATATATGTATATATATAAAGATAAGAACATCTAAGTGTATCATAAAAGTCTACTATATGTTGTCACGTTAACGTTATAAAGACTGAGCAAACAGCATTCACCATTAAACTGACACAGCACAAGAATGCTTAGCTAGATTTGTTTCCAAATTATCTGTAAATATTTGACACGTGATAAATAGTCTCGTCCTAGTAAACAAGGACATATTTACAACAACTTAATCTTGCAGTGCTAAATAAATCCACTCATTGCTAAACAGTTTCTAACAATCAGGAGAACAATGTTAATATTGAAATATACAAATTCATACCTTACAATCTCTGTTCATGTATCGTTTAGGTCACTCTTAAATCAGTATATACTTTCGTTAAAACCGTAAAACAAACATTAAAAACCTAAATAATTGTTCCTCTAAGTTATTTGAATGCGTACAATATTTTTTTAGAACTGACCACCCAGCATCACACCATGAAAACATGGAAAATAAACTACGTGAAATAAAATCAGACGAAACTTAAAATATACACAATTTCCTTCTGGTTGCAAAGAAGTAAATACATCTCTTAAATAGACCAAAGAACTGTTCTATGTACAATCTTTGTACACTTATTCAACTGTAAACCACCTCAGTACCCACTAAAGCTGAGTTCTATCACTTGGCACAAGAAAAAACAAAACAGACAAAATATGGAGAGGAACTCTCTGATTCTTTGTACATCACGTTGTTTGAACTTACATTGGTTTTAATCTATAACAAGTTGTCTTCAAAGCCATGTTAAAATAAATTTACTTTTCAGGCAAATGCTTTCTTTGAAATTCTTATTTTTTGATTTATCGGTTATAAAGCTTTATAAGTTGTTTCATTTCTCAGTGCAAGCATATAAACTTGGAAAGCCAGAATTTCAGTTTGTGTGCATAAACGCAAAACACGCACATGCTGTGTTCTCTGTCTGTAATTTCAAAGTGCTAGAATTACTTGAACAAGTTTGTTTGATGTTAAGCACAAAGCTACACAATGGGCTATCTGTGCTCTGCCCATCATGGGTATCGAAACTCGGTTTCTTGCGTTGTATGTCCGCAGACATACCGTTGTACCACTGGGTGGCCACTCGAACAAAGATGAAATCGAAAAAGACAAGAAAACGTCAGCTTAATACCACAAGTCTCACCATTAACAATAATAGGAATTTTCTTCAAATATGATAGAAAGGATGTGCATTTGAAATACTTGTTAACAGTGTAAGATTACAATTAGTTACTTGATATTAAGAAATTTGTACTATTATCTAATGACAATGTTTTACTCGAGTAATTAACAATATCAGGTTCTAAGTAGCTATTATTATAGAGATTAGTGCTCCTGTGTAATAATACATTCTCAAAGGAATCACTGACTGTGACAATATATTAAATTTCTTATTGTTAGCTATAATATCTCAGTTAATTACAAGTTAATGAAAAATTATCACTAAATATTTAGTAATTATAATCCCAAAAGCTACAATAAGGTCCATATTAATTACTAACTGTTAATTACAAATGTTTATGACAGAAGAGGGTAAAGGTGTGAGTGGATATTTATTAAATACAAAGGTTGTCCTATATATATTTGCAGGTAAAATTTACATAGGCTTCTTCACGATCACATCAAAATGATATCACAAACTAGACAGTGCCACACCCTTTCCACATTAAGCCTTGTAATATATCCTGACATGATAATCTACAAACAGTTTCACTAATCTATAGCTTTGTAAAATATCATAAGAAATAAGACAACTTTACAATATGCCCAAATATTTTCTCTACAGCACTATTTATAATGGATTCTGTTGTCTAATCCATAAAGCATGTTTCTATGAAATATTCTAAATGGTACAAGAAATGAGTTAATAAACAATTAACCCTCTTAATGATTTTATTGGAGAAGTTAATGTTAGTTCGCAGGCTCACAGATTCTAAGCAATACCTTCATGGTTATAGTTTTGTGACAATATTTTAGGTACAACAATTACCTGCAATCCTTACAAGTAAGCAGTTATTAGTTTTCTAAAAACCTACTAGAAGGGTGGTGATGTTCTGGTAGTTATTATCAATTGGCAATTAATATAGTCTAAAAAATATATTAAATATGATGGCTAACATGGTCAGTTAGAATATATTACTTTTCTAAACATATTCAATAAGTAAAACTATCTTAAGTAGAAGAACTTACTGGCTGTCTCTGTCAGAAATTATTAGTTCCTGAAGAAATACCTTAAGTAGGGGAATGTACTGGCTGTCTCTGTCAGAAGTTATTAGTTTCTGAAGCAATATCTTAAGTAGAACTTACTAGCTGTTTCTGTCAGAAGTTATTAGTTTCTGAAGAAATATCTTAAGTAGAACTTACTGGCTGTCTCTGTCAGAAGTTATTAGTTTCTGAAGAAATATCTTAAGTAGAACTTACTGGCTGTCTCTGTCAGAAGTTATTAGTTTCTGAAGAAATATCTTAAGTAGAACTTACTGGCTGTCTCTGTCAGAAGTTATTAGTTTCTGAAGAAATATCTTAAGTAGAACTTACTGGCTGTTTCTGTCAGAAGTTATTAGTTTCTGAAGAAATATCTTAAATAGGATAACTTACTGGCTGTTTCTGTTGGATGTTGTTAGTTTCTGAAGAATATTGACAACACAAGAATTTATTGGCTGGCTCTGTGAGTTAAAAGTAATTATAGTTTTTAAACACAATTTTACTTGTGATAAGTATTTATTAGTTGCAAAACGTTTATGGCCACTGGAATTTCACGTAATATACAAAAAAAATGTTTTATGTCACCTCTGTACATATCAAGCTATGAGCCAATATTCAGTTGGGGATGAAATTAAATGACTTAGGAATGCTAATCACTAACTTATTGTAACTAAAAAAGTAAGAATGACAATAAAACCACCATTATCATCACAGTTATTGTTTGTGAACTAACATCACTTCCACTGACCACAACAATAACTTTTAACATACATTTCTTGACCTTAAATCCACTCTGAACACAAGTAAAGTGGAGTTCTTGAAGTGTGTCATGGCTACTTGCCAACTAGAGAGATCTAGCTGAGACAAAGTTTAAATACAATTTAATAAAACAGCCTAAAAAGATCATTCAAAATTCTTAACTAAAGATACGTGTTGTTACAAAACAGACACAACCAGACCAGAGAAATATTATCAAGCTTCTTATAACTTAAGGAAACATCCATTTGGTCATTCATGTATGAAAAGATAACTTAATCTTAATTATCATGGTTAAGTGGTAACCGTTTAAAATCTGGGTTGGCACATAACATCTTGACTTAATAAAAAGTATGAAAAAAAATCTTATATCCTCTCCAGCTGGAGATATCTTGAGATAAAAAGAAAAACTACAACTCAGAAGCACAGCCAAATACTCCCTTTCATGCTCCGTAATTAGCAATATACATAACATCTTTAGTTGACAAGTCTATACACATAGACTGGTATAAGGATTTAAAACTGTACATTGATTATGTATACACGACAACAAACCTGTGTGGCTTCAGCCATGAGTTCATTTGGCAAAAATGACTTTTCTGTACAAGCAGAAACTTGTTAATAAAGGACCACAAGCCTTGGCATTCTGTACACCTAAGTTGTCATTAATTTATATTCCTTTCATTCTAGACTTACAAACCAGTTTATTTACATAACTTTCTTTATGGCACGTCATAAAGAACTTGTCAAAAATCACTCGGGAACACAGCTGCAGAAAGTCTGATGCAATGCTACGCAACTCCTACCTGTGAGGTAGGACTACGAGTTACTCGAGCTTGTGATAAAGGTGAGACAGTCTGGCTTGCCACTGGCTCCTGTACTTCTATGCAGGAAGATGAAGTAAAATGACTTGCACCTTGACTATTTAGGAGAGGCTGACAGGATAAACACTGATGTTCATTGTCCAGTGAAAAACTGCCTCTGTTGTTCTGGTCATCTAAAAAATTTACAAATAAAAGCTAAAAAATATTAGGCATAGAAAGAATCCAAAACATAATGAAACAGCCATAACAGCACCTGGTAATATAAAAATAATGTTTCGAAAAAAGCCCTTTTCTCCCCACAATTACCAGACTAATTCAAGGTATTAACTGACCTTTAGAAGCTGTGCCATGCTTTAAGGAACACGTACTCCAACTGTCCACAGAGTTTGGTACATCACTACAAAGTAAATTTCTTTCTGCTACATCATGTTCTGACTCTGGACATTCCTGAGAAATAGTACTGCAGCTACGACTGGGAGTTGGAATGGCCCCTTGCCTTAGGTTGACTTCAAGGTGGTCTACCGATAACGAGCGTTTCTTTTTTATGCCGGGCCACTGGGGTTGACCACCTGGTATCCTGTGTGATCTGTATTCATCTTCCATGGCCTGGTTTGTAGCAGAGATAGGTCGTCCTCTCCACAACTTGTCTCGAGGGTGCGAGTGGAATGTAGGTAAAAGAGGCCTCCTCTGCTGACTGCTAGTTGTTCTTGGAGAACTCTGCACTGTGTCCTCAGACATGTTACTTTGTTGACCTAACATGCTACCCACACTACTTCCTACAGAAGAAAATTAAACATATTTATAAATATAGAGATATTGGTCATATTAATCTGAGGCTGAGATAGACAAAATTATGTATACAGAAATACTGATCATACAGACCCCCGAGATAAGACAAAATTATGTATACAGAAATACTGATCACACAGACCCCGAGATAAGACAAAATTATGTATACAAAAATACTGATCACACAGATCCCGAGATAAGATAAAACTATTATGTACTTACTTATACAGAAAGAATGATCTTAGTAGTTCTAACAGAAGATAAGAGAACATTACATAGCTACACTATAACTATATTAAATATTGCTAAAAAATAAACATGCCTTACTACAGGACAAATCTAAAAATTCAGGTAACTATTTATATTAGATCTTACAGCACATATACAAAAAACCAGCACAACAGTTTACAGACTAGAAATTTGCTGTGTATATTGTTATCAAATGAGCCTATTTCAAAGTTCAACTACTGTTACCACCAACTCGTATCTGCCCGAGACAATCCATACAAACTATCACTACAATATGTACTACACATTCAATCCACACAAACTACTATCACTACAATATGTACTACACATTCAATCCACACAAACTACTATCACTACAATATGTACTACACATTCAATCCACACAAACTACTATCACTACAATATGTACTACACATTCAATCCACACAAACTACTATCACTACAATATGTACTACACATTCAATCCACACAAACTACTATCACTACAATATGTACTACACAGTCAATCCACACAAACTACTAACATTACTACTATATGTACTACACAGTCAATCCACACAAACTACTAATATTACTACTATATGTACTACACAGTCAATCCATACAAACTACTAATATTACTACTATATGTACTACACAGTCAATTCATACAAACTACTAATATTACTACTATATGTACTACACAGTCAATTCATACAAACTACTAATATTACTACTATATGTACTACACAGTCAATTCATACAAACTACTAATATTACTACTATATGTACTACACAGTCAGTCCATACAAACTACTAATATTACTACCCTACTGTACATGCCACATGATCCACACAGACTCCCCTGTTATGTAATGAATTATTCAAGCCACCAATAACCAAGTTCAGATGCATGATATTTATCTGTCCTGCATGACCAGAAATGTTAAGGTCCTGCTGCTATATTAAACACAAAAAAGGACTCTCCTCTGCTCATATTGGACTTTATGGAATTTCTAATTGTTCTAGATGAATGAGTTACAAACAATAGACCTTATAAAAAAAAACAAATGCTGCAAGTACTGAAGTAATAACCTTAGTGTACAAGATTCACAAACACCTACTGAAGTGTGGCAATGTGGTTCTTTCATGCGGCAGTAACAACACTTGGCCAGAGTTTTCTTCTGGTGGTAGAAGTTGGTCACTGCTTTGTTTGGCACTGTCAGTACCACTATCTCGACTGGAATGCTCTAAAATTAAAAATTAAATATTTTTGTTGCACTGAAACTTAAAAAAAAGGAAATCTTTACAAAATAGTTTACTGAAAAACAAGAAATAATGAAAGTAAAACTGATGTTTATAGGTTTTGACCAACTAGATTGATGAGAGATTACTAGCTAGATGAAATTTCTATGTTTTTAGGTGTGGGAAATATCTCGGTGCAAATTTTGTTCTGACACACAAACTCACGTAGACTTTATTATCACAAAAAAGTTAGGACTAGCTTAATATTTACAATTAGCTTTTAAGTTTAGTTCACCTCATTGTCTTTAGTGTTAGAAATATGATATACATGTGACCATACCATACAATTATATAGGTAAAAAAGTAAAGGAAAATATGACAACCACACTACATCTGCTACATCCAGTCCTGATGAGGTCTTTCACCAATTCACAGAGTAAAGACATGTAGGTGTAAACAATACCTACACTACTCAAGAACTGATATTCAATGGACTTCCTGACTACAGTCACTGAAATCAATATTTGAGTATCAGTTAATGTTGTAGCAATAAACAAGGTTGCTGCTGTGTTCCCAGTGCAATATACACAATCTTTACTTTTTATTATAAATAACTGAAATTGTTGTAATCAGTTTTGTTAAGTTTGAAGCTTAGTTTAAAGTAGTTCATAATTAATTAGTTTCAAACAATTTTGAATATGTTACAGCATTACTAATATAATAAGTTAAATGTATTCAAACATTTATTTATGTTTTTAACTTATCATGACACATTTAGCTGCCCCTGGAAAGAAAAACAAATGAAGCTGTCTCTAAATAAAATGTGACAAGACTACTCACAATTGCAATTGTAATGAAGAAATCTGTTACAGACACTTCATATGGAACATTTGTTAAAATAAAACAAAAACCATATCCAAACCTATCTGTATTGTAATAACCTATCTGTATAGTAATGAGTTCACTATGATTACACAGAACTTTTATAAACATCTGTAGGTCAATAAACATTTGTTGACCAAACCTCAACTTACCAGAATTGTTGTCCAAGAACAGGTGTGTGACAGAGTTCTTGTATTCATCAACACCAACACCCTGAGGATATGGGTTATAGGGTGGTGTTTCACCTGGCAAGGTAGTCTCATCTGTTTTAGTGAGTGCATAGTCCTCTCCTCTCTTCCTGGTCTTGTAGATTATAACGACCCACACAAGTGAAGTCCCAACAACACAACACACAACTGAGATAATGATAATTCCAGTTGTAGTTTTATCGTCCTCTGCTCCAGCCATTACTACCTTTGTTGCAAGAGCTATATATGTAAAGTAATTTATCTCTTTTATTTTTTTTAGCATCAACTTTTAAGTAACAGAACATTAAAGCTAGAGTTCAGAATAATTTCACCAGAAGATACACAAATCTTGTAAACTTTGAAATTTTAGTAAAATAAAAATACCAGACAATTTATTCCCAAAAAATGTTAGGACATTTTGATTAAAATGTAGCACATGCTGAAATTAATATTTTAAATATAATACAATCTTATTTTTATAAAAATACATACAAAAAATAACATCCAGGAAGTTAATGGTGGCCCTGTATAAATCCTCCATTAAGACTACTTTATCAAAGCATCTTTTGAAGAAAATTTTTATCCTTAAAATATGGTTTCTGAAATATTTGTGACTGTTTATCAAACATTTTATTTTAAAAGTAAACAGTTACAGTGGTTCATTTCTTAAACTGGGCTGAAAATGACTAATAACTGCCTAATGAAGAATATTTCTAGTAAAAGAAACAAAAAAATCTTGCATTAGTTTTATCAGTAAAGTGAATAACTCACATGGCAGAACCGTTAGGTAAGAAGAATCCGACTTTGATCCCATTGTGTTAGACATGTTACACACGTATTTGCCAGTATCAGATGATTTAGTTTGGACTATAATCAACAACTGACTGTCAGCTGTAAAGAAATGTCTTTCAGTGGGAACTAGAGGAGCATCATCCTTCATCCAGGCTAACTTAGGTTTTGGACTGCCAGCAGCCATACACTCCAAGACGGCCGTTTCTCCTACTCGCGTTTCTTTATTCTCCATAGATTTCACAAAATTTGGGGTTTCTAAAATGCAATAAAAAAAAATTATAAATGCTATATCTAGTTTTTCTCAAGTCATGAAGTCAGTTCACAGTTATTCTATACTTCTGACATTTGAAATATGATTATGAACAGTGCCAATTCTAATCACTGCAATTTCTGAATTTCAGTATAAGAAATTCTTTTAAAGCCCATAATTTTGAAGCATTTAAATATACGAAAATGACAGTAATATTTTTTTATTAACAGACTAATATAACAGATTTCATACAGGACTTATTTAGTCTCTGCAGCATCTCCAAACTAAACAAGTAAAAATTAAGGTGGTGAGCAAACACCTGCACCATAAACCCCCCACAAGGGTAAACTTTTATACCATTCTGCTCTGAAAAAAACAGAAGATATGTCTCATGTTAAAATGATCTTCATTACTCTGAACAGATTTACTTTAAAACATACTATTTGAGACTCAATCTTCTGTAGCATACCATTATTACTTTCTAAGGGTTGTAAGTTCAATCATTTGTTGGGACAGTTTTCTAAGATCTTTATATTATTTTATTTACTTCAAGGTGAGTTTAACTTGTCAGACACCAACCTAAAACAGTCAAGGTAGCATTTGCCATGATCATCCCAGCATCATTTTTGGCTGTACAGCTGTAAATGCCCATGTCACTTGCCTTGACTTTAACAATAAAGAAGACATCATCTGAAGGCATCACATGCATTCTACGTTCTCGAGCTGCTGGGAAATCATCATCGCCTCCATCTTTCTGCCAGGCAATCTCTGGAGAGGGAAGACCCATTGCAGCACACTCCAACCTGGCAGTACTACCAGACTTCACAACAACATCAACTGGTGTTTTAGTAAAAATGGGAAACACTGGAACCAAAAATACTCATTACTTCTGATTTAAAAGTAAGACATCAGAGAAAACAGTATTTATACAAATTTTGTATCTTGTGAAAATAATCTCAAAGTATACATAAACCGACAATTGTGTGTAAATTTTTATAAGAACAGAAAAAGTCATTAATAGTATAATTAACAAATTTGAAAAAAATCTTAATAGGGAATTGCAGTTTTGTAAAAATAATTACATACTAAAACATTTGGGGGATATATTAGCTCACTTTTTTTTATATTATTAACCTGAAGACTACCCTTTTCCATCATTAAAATCCTTATACACTTTTGAACTTGAGATCTTCTTCAACAAGAGAAGTTTTGCATGTGAAAAGTCTGATTGTCCTCACATTTGATGATAGGGACATTGCAATAAGGTATTCTTAAAACTTAACTCAATTTCCCAAGTCTGAACTTGGTAAGGAAAGATGTGTGGATTATATTACATGCTTTAAAACTAAAGTTTACTACACACCATGAACAGTAACATGTGCTTTGTCAGAGTATGCAGTTCCAAACCGGTTCGAAATGACACATTGATATTTTCCTTCATCATTGTCGTCAATATTGCGAATGTGTAAGAGACTGGCATGTTCTGTAACACCGTCCTTTCTTGTCTTGTTGAAGTTTTCCATCTCTCCTCCTAACAACAACTGAAAGAAGTACAATCTTTATTAGAACTAAGATAAAAAAAAATATAGTTATAAGCTACCAGAACACACAAAGAAAAAAATATATACTTTTTTCAGAAATCGAAATTTACTTTGTACATTATACTTATAAATTTAATACTGACTATATCTCTGTTTTGATGTGATTTTGTTCTCAAACGTATAATCTAATGAAACCTTAACTAGCTCACATAAATTATATAGTCATTAATTGGTAAGTTTAAGTGAATGCTTTGTCTTCATATTGACACAGTATTACCAGATTCTAAATCTGAGTAACATACAAAGCCAGCTTGGCAGGAACAATTTAACAGATGACTGTTTTGAGGGACATTCTAACAATAATGCTTTAATTTACGTAACAATCTCATGCATTTTAACCCACACAATCCAGTGAAAAAATACACACACGTTACAAGTTATTTATGTCTTCAATGAGGCTACCTTGACCCCTTAAGTCATTACTCACTCTAAAAAAGGGGAGTTTAAAGTATGTAGCATTGAAAGTCCTCAGCTCCCAAAAGAGGTTAAGATGTTATGGTTTTTCAAGAGGGTGGGGGTTAAGGTCTTATAGTTTTCCAAGGGAGTGTGGGGAGTTAAAGTCTTATGGTTTTCCAAAAGGGTTGGGGTTAAGGTGTTATGGTTTTCAAAGAGTCATTATCTCCCAAAATAGGGGGTTATGGTGTTATGGTTTTCCAAGGGGGTGTGGGGGTTAAGGTGTTATAGTTTTCCAAGGGGGGTTGGGGGTTTAAGGTGTTATGGTTTTCCAAAAGTCAGTACTTCCTTTTTAGGAATATTATTTGTACAAACAAAAAGTACATGTGACATCTGAATGTATATACCCTGGGTCATTATTTTTGTTTCTCCAACAATAGACTGACCACTGGTCAGAGGATAATCTCATACATATGTTGCACCACAGAAATAACGAGATACAGTCACACATGTCAAAAACCACTCTGTAACCTTTGTCAAAAGTCCTGAAATTCTCACGTCTTCTACATGCATACAACCAAAATCTTTCGTAAGGTGAAAGATTTAACAATGTTAAGATGTGTAAAAAGCAAGAACTGTCTTAAAAGTAAATGTATTCCCATGCACAGAGATGTGATACTTTAAGCACTCTAACCTTGCTGTCCTTCCTCCACTGGAAAATGGTAGGAGTATCCCTGGAGCTAGCAGCCTTACAAACCAGTGTTGTGTTCTCACCCTTCAGAGCTGTCAGTGTTTGGGGGTTTTCAGTGATGTAGGGTTTAGGGGAGTCATCTACAACAACAAAAAGCATTACATAAGATGCAAGTTAAGATTAGGGAAGTGGTGACGACACTATATAAGATACTCCAGGCATCACAAGTGATAACCTAATGTCTATAAACACGTTCATTTTGATGGAGATCACACTGAGTACTCACTTCATGTGATAAGAAACTTAACTATCAAGAATGTTCGATTGCCTGAGCATTATATATATATATAGACACACGTACACATTACGTTGAGTTAAACAAGTGTTTTATACCATTATAATTAGATTATATACAAGATATTCTTTAGAGATATGCTTCTTAAGCTTTTTAAATATAGCCCTAAGTTATGTATTTTCTTCAGCTAAAAATGAGCCACTCAGAAAGTAACAAACGTACCACATGTGAAGTTTTCAGGGCTAGCTTCAAATATGCTTCTGTTTTTTAGTGACTCAGGGTGACCACAATGAGCAGTGACACTGTGACTAAAACCTGAGATTATAAGCCAGTTAGGAAGCCATTTCAAGGAACAGTCACAGAGCAGGCTACTAGTGTTGAATTTTCTGTACACAAAAAAAACAAAAGAACGGTAAATATTTAGATCAACGTTAACACCACATTAATAATTTACCATACTGCACTTGGCTGCTGTGCAGGCACTGAAAGCATAACAGAAAGCTTTTTTATTTTTTACATAAGTACCAACCTTATGTATACTTCTTACAATGACATCAACACATATAAAGTGGGATTCTTGTAATCTTTCTGCTAATGAAACAGTGATTTTTATTTTACAATGAACTATCTGATATTTTTTTGTTGTCAAGACCAATCATGTTAGTTGTCCTAGTATTCAACTTACAGCTCCTGCAGAGTGTGTAGATTTTGAAAAGCATTTTCCTGGATTGCTGTCAATGGGTTTCCAGTCAGGTCCAATAGCTGCAAACTGTGCAATCCAACAAATGCTCTCTTGGCAATGGACTTAATTTTATTGTGAGCTAGCCCCAGATCTAATAAGTGGGTCAGATTAGAAAAGGCACCATCTGTGTCCTCAATAGTCCAAGAAATCTCATTGTGGTCCAATTTTCTGTAATAGATAAAAAAATATCTAATTCCACCTGCCATATAAATATATATATAAAACAATATAATGATTATTAGAATACTGTACAATAATCATACAATCTTTAAAGAAAAAGGTTTCCTTACAACTATTTGAATTAATCTACATATAACTCCTTTAATGTTAACAACGGGCAAAATTATACAATATATAAAAATACTATTGAGAGGACACTTTAGAATTTGATGTAAAATGAACAAGAATATGACATGTACAAGAATGTAGTATTAATAAACATATTGCTTACAAGGTCAAAAGAGAGGTCAGATGACCAAAGGCTCCTTCCTCAATATACGATATCTTATTGTATTCAAGGTCCAATGTATGAAGCTTGGACAGCTTTGCGAACATGTCCTTTGAGACGGTATGCAACTGATTGTGTCTCAAGTCCCTAGTATGTGAAGGATGAAAACATTAGTCAATAGCAATAGTATTAAAAACTTAATGGCGATACATTTCAGCAAGACACTATCACATAATGCAATCATTAGTTTCATAAAACTGATGTGTGAAAGATCAAAACAATGTGTTTAACACAAGGGTTTCAGCTAGAAATATTCTCATAATGCATTCATTAGTCTTATAATTTTTTATAATCACAGCTACTTCATCAGACTTAAAAAAAAGTTTGTTTAATATATATATATATATATATAAGTATTTTCACTCAATTGTTAGAAAACAAATTCTACAATAAATTACAAAGTGAAAACAAATGTCAACTTACAGTTCTTTTAAATGATCACAGAATATCCAACCTTCATCCTCCACTTCAGATATACTATTGTATGTTAGTGATCTGTATAAAAACAGCATTAATATTCATAAATATTAAAACATCCCAACTATTAACTTGTTTATATTTACTAATACTAACATTTATTATACATGCTTACATAGGTAAATAACAATATTTTTAATACTTACAAAGTTTTCAGTGAAGACAGCTTGTACAACCAGGCTTTTTTAACTTGTGTTATATTGTTATAATCCAAATGCCTGAAATGAAAAATGGATTGGTTCAGTTGAAAAACTACTAATTTGATTAAGTTACTAGTAACATTTTATCATGACACTGAACTACAGGTCCATGAATTAATATATGCTAAGTGTATTAGCTTCACACTGATATTTCAACATGACACTGAACTATAGGTACATGAATTAATACCTGCTAAGTGTATTAGCTTCGTACCAACATTTTATTATAATACATAGCTTCAGGTCCATGTATTAATACATCCTAAGAGTATTAGCTTTGTATTATCATTTATTGTAACACATAGCTTCAGGTCCTTGAATTAATACATGTTAATGGCCACACCTTCTTAAAGAGTCAATTTTTCCAAGTGGAAAATGTTGAAAAAATTTTTTCCTATAACTGTGATTTCAAAAGTTCTTGAAAATATAACTACTGAAAAATCTTGTACCAAAAATCTAGTACTTGGGCTACATTCTGTCATATTTTTAAAAATCTAGCACTCAAGCTACATTCTGTCATATTTTTAAAAATCTAGCACTCAAGCTACATTCTGTCATATTTTTAAAAATCTAGCACTCAAGCTACATTCTGTCATATTTTTAAAAATCTACCATTCAGGCTACATTCTTTCATATTTTTAAAAATCTAGCACTCAAGCTATATTCTGTTATATTTTTAAAAATCTAGCACTCAAGCTACATTCTGTTATATTTTTTAAAATCTAGCACTCAAGCTACATTCTGTTATATTTTTTCCACCTTGATGAAGACGACTACTGTTTTAC